TGGCATCTTTCACATTTTGGGTCGCTGGTATGTTAGATCAGTCTCTTGATAAACAATAAATTTATGTTCTTTTTTTTTAAAAAACCTTTTATTAATGAATTATTTATAGATATACCGCGAAATCATTATCATCGAGCTTCAAGAAGTTCGGGATCGATTGATGGTGTAACATTTTTTCCGGTAGCGTCATCTCTGTCGCCATCATCTCAAAATAACACACTATGGTCTCTTAGTCTTCCACGTAGCATTCGTCCTTCAAGTCCAGATAATGTATTTCTTCCAGTACCGGGTATGTCTTCACACACTTCAGGAACGGCATCATCCGTGTCCAGTGGAGGTCGTCGCTCTTCAGATGACTTAATGTTTCAGCATGAGCCTGATGACGGTCCTTTGTTTCGTGCAACTTTAACTGCATTCGAAAAGAAAACAGGTTCATTAAAACATCATATTAAACGCATTTTAAAGACATCAACTGCTTGTCATGACGTTCTTATGGAATGTCATGAAACTGAGGAAGAATTTTTATCGACTTTAAAAGCTGCATCCAGTGCACATCCTCAAGCATTTCAACCTATTTTAGATAGTTATCTAGAAGACGCATCAAAGAAGATTGCAACTTTTAGAGAAAGTCTTGCAAACCAGATGTCTGTACTTTTAATTGAACCTCTCCGTAAGCTATATGAGAATGACATTAAAGTCGCAGAAAGCAAAAAAAAAGATTTTGAGGAGGAATCTCGTGATTATTACCAGTTTCTCTCTAAATATTTGTCTTTAACAAAAGAAAAGAAAAAGTTAGAATCAGATACTAAATATCAAAGCAAGCGTAAGAATTTTGAGTTGAAAAGATTCGATTATTATGCATACATGCATGACTTACATGGAGGACGTAAAGATCAAGAAATTCTTTATCATCTAACGAATTTTGCTGAAAAACAGTTTGCATTCTTTCAACAAACTGCTGGTGGTATACAAAGTTTAAAACCGGGATTGGATAAATTGGCTGTAGATGTTGCTGAGGCAACAAAAGAGATACATTTAATGAGAAAAGAAAGAGAAGAGAGACGTAGAGCGCTCGAAACCCGTGCTACAACAGTAAATCCATTTATTAGTGAGAGTTTTAATGAGGTAGACTCAAATGGCGGCAATGGAAGCACTACGAGTGACAATATGAGTGATGTTGCGGAGAATCAAACTACTAGCCCAGTTGGTTCTCCGATTGTGTCTCAAAATCGGTTTAAAGGAATTCGTGATTTAGAACAGCATGACTCAGAAACTGCATCAGTCGCTGGTAGAAAGAAGGAGGGATTTTTATTTGCTACTTCGCGAGCAACGCAACATGGAACTGTTGACTCGATCTCAAAGACAAGCTGGCATAAGTAAGTAATTAATAATTAAATCATAAAGTTTTTGTATTGGTATAAATTTTTTATATTTAAAAAAAAATTTTCATTTAAAATTAAATATTAGGTACTGGTGTGTTTTGGCAGGTGGTCAACTTTGTGAATATAGTAATTGGAAGAAACAATTAGAAGCGCATAATGATCCGATAAATTTACGTTTTGCAGCAGTAAGGGAGGCAAGGGGAATTGAACGTCGATTTTGTTTTGAGATTATTACACCTCAATATAGACGTATATATCAGGCAACTTCAGCCGAAGATATGTCTTCTTGGATAACAGTTATTTCTAATGCAATTGAAAGTCTTCTTAATGGGACAAGCAGTTGTCGCAATTTGGATCAAGTTATGGCTCAAGATTCAAATGGTGCCGGAGCCGGGCAGGTATTTAAGAAACCAATACAAAGAAGAGGAACTTTACCCAGCTTGACAGATAAACGAAAACTTGATATGAAAAAGGGTCTTGGTTCCGAAGAGGCAACATCAAACAATCAATCGGATTGTCGACAAGAAATTATCGAAAGCGAAAAATCCGCTCGAGTTCTTGAAAGCATTAAAGGCGCAGATGCATCAAATGCAAGTTGTGCAGATTGTGGTGCTCGTAAAACAGAATGGTGTTCTATTAATTTAGGGATTGTGTTATGTATAGGTAAATATATTTCATATAATGTTAGTGATTTAAGATATTTTATTATTTCAATACCTATTAAAAGTTAAATTATTAAATTTTTATTATACATTATAGAGTGCTCAGGAATTCACCGTAGTTTGGGTACGCATATATCTAAAATAAGGTCGCTTACCTTAGATACAACGTCATACACGCCTGACCTTGTTAATTTAATTAAATCTATTGGCAATGCTCGATCTAATGCAATTTGGGAAGCAACGCTTGAGCAGCGGCAAATACAGCAACAAAATGATGCACTATCATTGCCACCAAAATTTGAAGCACCTTCTGTATCACTTAATGATGATACGTCTACGTCAACACCAGTCACAGATGCCGATTGGGAAGATCTTATTAATTTGATTTCACCATCAAATCGTGGTTCGTCACTATCCCCATCTCCATCCCCTTCACCTTCACCTACCCCTTCACCAACACCTTCTCCAATACCACCAGCACCCACTGTAAAAAAGC